CTTGGTGTGCAGAAACTAACAAAAGATGCCTCTACCCAAGGAAAAAAAAACTCCTGAATTTTATTCTGAAAAAAGGTGAAATTTATTTATAAACCACACCGCAGGGCCACTTTTTCGCAACGAGTAAAGCAATTCAAGTATTCAACTCTGCATGTTAACACAGCCGGAAAGCATGGCACAACAGCAGCCTGTTTGATGTCTATTTTGACTAGTAAGTTGTCCAATAACATCTTCAGACTTATTCTTCAGAAAATTGCATTACTTTCAGACAATCCACTCATCAAACTCAGAATTCACGCTACTTACGTGTTTGAGCTTTGACAGTGCCGGCATTGCATGACATGGTACTCAGAAAGACTAGAAAAAGAATAACATTAACGGGCTGACGTCGACTCCGTACAAATCACATCTGCTCAACAAGATGTTTTTATTTCCAAAATCATTGCAACTTGCAACATGATAACTATTGTAAATATAATAAGTAGATATTTACATGTTGTAACTATAGTAAATAAATACATAATTATAGGAGTAATCATAGGATTATCCTAAATAGAATAGCTGCGTAGATATATAACTGATCTCTTCTATAAAAGATACACGAGAATTCAGTTTCTTCCTATTTTTTAGGAACCAGGTTCCCTAATTGAACCACTTTCCTAGTGAGCTATCATATTTTTTTTCTTTTCACTGCTGCCCTAGGGAACCCCACTCCCTTATTTTCTTCCTCTTTTTTTTAATGGTTGATGAGACAGAGAAGAAAATAGTAATCTCTGATGTTGTTACTGCAACAACAAAGATTACAAAACATAAACTCAATAGATAAAATTTTTTAAATTGGAGTAAAATAGTGCAGATGGATCTCCGGAGTATTGATCAAGACGATCATCTTATCGATGATCCCCCAACCGATGATTTGGGAAAGAAGACTTGGTTAAGAGCAAATGCCAGAATATATTTATAGATTCAAAACTCTATTAGCAAGTGAGGTAATTGGTCTAGTTAGTCACCGTGAGTTTGTTAAAGATTTTATGGATTATTTGACGTTTTTATATTCCGATAAGAGTAATGTTTCTCATATTTATGAGATATATAAGGAGTTCTATCATCCAAAAAAGGACAAAACCCTTACTGAATATTTCATGAATAGCAAACAAGTTTATGAGCGAGTTAAATTCTCTCATTCCTTTTAGTACCGATGCGAAAGCTCAACGGTATCAACGTGAGCGAGATGACTTGTCATGAGTTTTCTTGCGAGTCTATCCCTAGAATTTGACTCTGCTCGTGCACAAATCCTTTCTAGTCTAGAAGTTGCCTCTCTTCATGACACCTTCACTAGAATAATATGTACAAAAACATCTCAACCTTCTCCTATTATTACTAGTGCCTTTGTGAGTAGAGCTAGTTGGAACGAGGGAGGTCAAAGAGGTTGAAGTGGTAGAGGTGATCAACATAATTTTGGTTTTCGAAGTGGTAGGAATGGTAATTATGGAGGAAATAACAATCATGGATAGAGTGATCAAAACAAACTAATAACATGCTATTTTTGTAGAGATCTTGGTCATACAAGACATACTTGTTGGAAACTTCATCAAAAACCTCCAAATTTAGTACATGTTGCAAACTTTACAACCCAAGAGGTTGGTCATATCTCTTCCTCATCTTAGAAGTCTATAATGGAGTCTATTGATGACTTTGTTCGGTTTGCTCGGTATCAATCCTCGCTAAAGTCTTCCAACCAACATATCACTATTGATGAGATAGATAAACCCACTACATTCCTTGTGTCATCCTCTTCCAAATTGGTCATTGATTTAGGTGCTACGAATCACATGACGGATAATACGAGATATTCTCTCCCCTTTTGTTTAACACAAAAATCTTCTCGGTGTCACTTTGGTTGATGGGTCAACCACATCGATTCTAGGAATTGGAACAACTCTTCCCTCTATAGATCCTAGTCTTGATCTTCCAATTGCTCTTCATAAGGGTAAACGACATTGTTTTGATCCTATCTCTACGTTTGCTTCTTATGACCAATTGTCTCTTTTGCATTGTTGTATTGCTTCGTCGGATTCGGTATGTGTACCTCAACCGTTAGAGGCCTTGTCTCATCCTGATTGGCGAACTGCTATGGCGGAGAAAATGATGGCTTTAAATGATAATGATACTTAGGATTTGGTGCATCTCCCAATAGGTAAACAAGTAATTGGTTGTAAATAGGTGTATGTTGTCAAGGTTAATCTTGATGGTTCTATGGCTCGTCTCAAAGCTCGATTAGCTGCAAAAGGGTATGCTTAGACATATGGTGTAGATTATTCTAATACTTTTTCTTTGATTGCTAACCTTGCATTTGTTCGTTTGTTTATATCTCTTGTTGCTACTAATGATTGGCCCTTACATCGGTTAGATGTCAAAAATCCTTTCCTTCATGGTGATTTGCGGGAGGAAGTCTATGTAGAGCAACCACTTGGGTTTGTTACTTAGGGGTATAGGAAAGTCTCGTAAACTTTAAAAATCTTTGTATGGGTTAAAGCAAAGTCTTCGTGCTTGGTTTGGGCATTTCGGTGCGGTAGTTCAAGAATTTAGTATGAAAAAAGTAATTGTGACCATATTGGTTTCTACTAATGGTCAAAAACTAGTATCATCTTGTCGAAACTGATATTATCTTATGAATTGTATATGTTGATGATAATGTGATTACCGATGATGATGATATCGGTATTTTAGCTCTTTAAGTCTTTTCTCCATATCAAATTCCAAACGAAAGGCTTAGGCTTATTGAAGTATTTATTGGTTATTGAAGTTACCGGATCCAAAAAGGGCATTTTTTCTTTCTCAAAGAAAGTATATTCTTCATCTACTTAAAAATTAGAAGTTAAACCTTCTAGTGCACCAATAATTACTAATCTATAGCTTACAACGAGATGATGGGGAGTTATTTGCTAATCGTGAGAGATATCGCAGGTTATTTAAAAAACTAAATTATCTCACAATAACTCGTACTAACATCGCATATCCTGTTAGCATTGTGAATCAATTTATATCTTTTCCTCGAGTTACTCATTGGGTAACATTACAATAGATCTTACGTTATCTCAAAAGAGCTCCGGGGAGTGGATTACTCTATAGTAATCACAGTCATTCTAGTATTGAGTGTTCCTCATATGCAAATTGGGCTGAATTTAAGAGTGACAAAAGATCTACTACGAGGTATTATCTTTGTTGGTGGAAATTTGGTGTCAACAAGAAGTAGAATGTTGTGTCTCGATCTAATGTAGAATCGAAGCATCTCCAATGACACAATCCACGTGTGAACTTGTGTGGATATCTCAATTTTTAAATGAGATTGGTCTTGCAAATTCTCTTCCTATGAAATTGTGGTGCGATAATCAAGTTGCTCTTCATATCATATCAAATCTAGTTTTTCATGAAAGAACTAAGTACATCAAGGTTGATTGTCACTTTATCCGTGAGAAAATTCAGCAAGAACTGATCCCTACAAACCATGTCAAAGCTGGAGAACAACTAAGCGACATTTTAGGAGGTCCCGAATTGATTATATTTGTAACAAATTGGGCATGATTAACATCTATGCTCTAACTTGAGGGAGAGCGTTATAAATATAGTAAGTAAATATTTACATGTTATAACTATAGTACGTAAATACATTATTATAGGAGTAATCATAAGAGTATCCTAATAGGATATATATATTATACACGAGAATTCAGTTTCATCCCTATTTACAATAACAAAATTGGGCAACATTAAAAAGACAAAAAGCAATTTCTGTCTGTCTGATCGTTAGCTAGTTGCTAACAGTAAAGCAGCATTTAGCAATGATGACTTAGGTTACATTTCTACTTGCCTTTTCTTTTTATCATGATTTCTCCTTACCTATTTGATCCTCCATCAACATTCTTCCTCCGCTAGTGGTATGTGAGTGTGTGCATGTGAAATATAACTCACCACCAGTTAAAACTGTGATTGGCAATGGGGCGATGTTAAGATAATTAGAAAATATTATTGACAGAAGTATTTAGTTTAGGGTTACATGTTATGAAGACGGGGAAGTTTCATTCTATGAAGCAACCAATATACAACAAGGCATTTATTACAAATTAATTTTATTACCGTTGAACCCAAAGCTCAAGAAACTCCAGTGCATATGTTTGTGCCACTATTTGCTCAAGCAGGTTCGTCATGTAAAGAGAACATCACTATGAAATTCTATTCTCCCTGGCCACGGAAATGATCTGATTCAACAATTTTTCTAGGAAACTTAATGTAATGGAAAATGAAAAGTTGTCTATCACGATGAATCAACAAATTTAAGATCATCAGCAAACTGGCATTACACTAGTTGAACGAGCCAACATGCCTGCTTATTAAAATTTCCATTTTGGATGAGCAAACAAGTACTGTCTAATACCTTTAAAATCCCTTCTTCAGCACACATCAAGTGGTTGACTATACCAACCCACCAGGTCAGGTAAGTGCCTAGTAAATATATTGAACCTTCATGATGTCTGTAATTACATCATGGACTAGCAAATGAGAAACCGCTACTGAAGCCGTTAAAATATAGATCTGCCTAGTGTCTAAAACTAGGAGTACGTGCTATAAAAGTTTAAAAGAGAATTCAGGTCAATACATGGAAAATATTAAGCTAGCTTTCACAGTGATTAGAGCAGCAAGTTGCAAAGTATGAGTCAGGAAATTGTAAACAACCAAATTATCATGGCACAGTGGCCTCTTCACCTTTTATCTTACTTTTTCTCATACAGGTAACCTAGACAAAAATTTACGAGACCAATGGTCCTCTGAAGTAGGTCAATGCCAATTCAGTTTCTCAGTACTGAAACTATTTGACAAAAGAAATTCAGTGAAGATGATAACTTAAACATTCTATCTTCAACTTTCAGTAGGGGAACTAAAATTCACTTGACATAAATTCAAGTATAAAGCCATAATCACCAATATGCAAGTATAATTAGTCAAATAATTAGCACAACACGAAAATGCAAAGTGTAATGGAAAGTGATATAAACTCCATGTAGATCGGACAAACTGTCATGTAATATGAGAACAGATGCTTCTAAACATTTTGCAAACAGATGTTTCTAAGCAGTTTGCAATGAAATCATGTTCAGCTCATTAACGAATGTACTGTTGATATTTGTACCAGTAGCACTGCACTATTCTAGGTTTCAAATGATTTCAACTGTATTCAAACGGCATTAACTAACCTTGACACTGAAGAGATAGCTCCTATCAGAAACCTGTTGGCCAGCTGTGACTTGAAGCCCATGGACATGTCCGGCAAATGGTGCAGTCACTACATGCTATTAAAATTAAAGAAAATATCATGAAATGTTCTAGCAAATCAAATAAATTGATTGAGCTTTTTGTGAAATTTACAACAAACCTCCATCTTCATTGCTTCAAGAACTAAAATAGGCTGCCCTTCCTCTACCTTTGACCCATCCTTCACCAGAACCTTGACTACTAAACCAGCCATGGGAGACACCACAGTTCCTGGAGGGTGAGATGCAGTCTCAAAATTGGTCTTCTGTTGTATTTCATTATCATCAGACAACTCAAACTCTAACTTTTGTCTGAAGTGAGAATGATGCGATCCATGCCATAAATGAATGTGCTTTATCTTATCCTGCCACAAAGAACCAGCTTTTCCATCAATACCACTTGCAAATGCTCTTCCCTTCTTGACTGAGGAATGCTGAATTACCATAGCATGCTTGCTTTCTTAATAAAAACTGGTAAATGACATTTTATTAAATGAAACAACAGGTTTATCAGACAAATGCTTCAAGAATAAAAGCATCCCTAAAAAACCGCACATGGGAATGTTGAAGGTAGGTTCAGAATGCTGCAATCAATAATTCGCATAAATTAATCTATGTAACACTTCACGGTTTTTATATAGGCACATAATTACCTTAGAATACAAAGATAAACTAACATCCATGCTCACACCACCAGTTTCAACTCTAAAATCTTGGTTGTGCAGGAGTGTTGCTTTGACTTCCAAACCGGGGGAATTGATTTCTCCTGTCTGTGTTTATGTGAAATTTTAAACGATCATAATTTCAGATACAAAAACAAACCATTCAACCCTGAATTGGCATTCATTACAGGCATAAATACCTCAATCAGATAGTTCCCATCTGGCTGATAAGTGATTGAGAAGGTAAAAAATTTGGACCAGCTGCCATCATATTCATTCTCCCACTCAAGCTCCACGGTACGACTAGCTTGATAATGGGCTCGAAAAGGGGGATGAGAATACCATATGGGGAGCAACCCATTGGTCCCTGCATTTGCAGGAATATATTATGCCTTATGAGGAATCTGAAGGAACAAGTAACACGCACTGGAAAGCTGGAATGAGCCTTCAACCTACCAGGGGGACTGGAATTTAAAGCAGAACGTTCCTTCTCACAAAGACATGCAGCTACTAGGCTTGCGTTGAATCTAGCAGTATCATATGTTTCCTTTGCAAGCATTAAATTATTAGGATCAGTAAAGAGGTCTTCTTTATAATGTTCAATAAAGTGGGTCTCCACATTGCCATTTCCAAATGCTCTATGGTCAGCAAGTTTTCGGAGAAAATGGATATTAGTTGGCACGCCTGCAACCTGAAAAGCATCAAGTCCATAATATGATTACAATTATGTCAAAAAATTATAAACATAAATAAGTGAACCAAAAAGAGAGAAATAAACTGCATCCCCAAAGAATTCATAGGGAAAGGCGACCAGTACATATAGAACTAGTTTTTGTCGACAGATAAAACATTTTGTTCATCTTTGTCTCAGAGCATAGAGAAAGCATATCCAACAGTCCTAGCCATCTGGAACCTCAATTACCTTTCAAAAAAACCATCAGAAATTTCTACTCTGCAACCAAATAATTTAATTTGACTTCATAGTTCATACATAGAACTATTCTTCCAGGTGGATGCCTAGCAGTGATTGTATTAATCTATAAATGTGCCAAGGTTCATAAATGACTCAGCTAAAACATGATTGTTTCCAGGATATACCTGAAATTTTGACAAGCAATCCTTCAGTTTGACTAATGCTGCAGCACGGTTTTCTCCTGAGACAATAAGCTTTGCAATCATTGGATCATAGTGCATGCTAACAGTATCCCCCTGCTCAACTCCAGTCTCAACCCGAACTGATAATTGAAATAAATCCAGTATAAGCCAAAATTTGGTATGCAAAAGGCTATAAGGAATCAACAAAAGGACACTGCAAGAAAGAAAACCCATTCACTCAAAACTAGTGGGGGACTTAAACCATTACAAGGACTCATGGACCATCCGATCCTTATTGTTTTTAAATAGAACAAAGAGCAGTGATTGCAAAGTAGGAAACCTAATTGAATAGTCACTTCATAAGGAAACTTTGGCCTGACAATATTTTGAAAGAAAATCAGCAAAAAGTGGCAGAAAATACAATTCACCAACAGTGAGACCAGGTTTCATATTCAGCATGCACGAGTAACACGATTATTTTATTGCAATTTGCACCTGTTGGTGAAACTGGAACAGGACGATAATGATGAAGAACTCCAGTTGCAGGAAGAAACCCTTTCGGAACATTTTCAGCATATATTCGGGCTTCAAAGGCATGACCTGTAAAGTTACGGTGATCATAAACAAGTATATGAACAAAGAACTCACAAGAGTAGAGAAACACTTCATGCATAAGGTGATAGAGATATTAAATTAAATGTGGTCTAATAATTCAAGCTAATATGAAGAACAAAAATTTTCCACTTGACATCAGATGTTAAATCTACTAACCAACAAAAGGAATAGAAGGATGGGCATATTCAACACCATGCAGAGAAAAATGAAATGAGTTCCAAGAATCAAATTTCAGAAGTTGAGTACCATGCAACATATGAGAACAAGGAGCAGGGCAGGCATGTACTATAACACAGACATCACCTGCCTAAATCTTTTCCGGGGTAAAGAGTTTACCCAATAAAGGCACCTGTGACTGATTAATAGGTAGCAGTTCTCCATTTGCAACAGATATTTGCCACTCTACGAGATCTTGGCCAACAATCATCTCAGTCACAGGATGCTCAACCTACAAAAGAATATTACAGCTCCCTGTCAGGGTTATGTTAGGCTCGTGCGACTGATGGAGAACCATTTATCTAGTTTCATTAATTCGTATTTTTCTTTAGTTATTTTTACTTTGTCATTATCTTATTTTATTTTATTGTTATCTTTGCAAACTTATTGTTCTACCTGGTGGATCTCTATACTGATTAACTAAACTAGATACACAGTTCTCCATCAAGAACTCGAGTAAGAAGACAGAAAAGAGCAAAGCCAGTACCTGAAGTCGGGTGTTCATCTCCATAAAATAGAATTGGCCTGAGACAGTGTCAACTATAAACTCCACAGTACCAGCATTGTGGTAACCAACTGCCTTTTAATATGCAATAGGGACCAAACATTAGCAAATATAATGAATGAAGTTAAAGAATATTGACTGCAGTTAGAAGGGAAGTGAAATATTAGAGCTAAGTAAGAGAGCGTTTTAAGTAGCACAACTATGATGGTCTACAGTACCAAAATTAATAGCAGAATTATGCTAGAGAAAAGGTAGATTCCTCAAAAACAGTGGCTTGCATATTGCAAACCATCAAAATTCGGAACTCCCTAAAACTCCACTTTCCATTGTAAGGCACTGGGATATTAGGATCACGGACAATCGAGAGAATAACTTGTGTAGTCTTAATAGACATATGAATAAGCTCAACAAATATAATATGGTAGATTCAAGACAGAAAAGGGTAGTCAACAATTTCCCAAGTTTATAATCACCAAATCGACTAGAAAACATATACCCATAGGGATTAAAACAAAAGTTTGATTATATAGGGATTAAATGATCTCAAGAAGGAAGATATAACAAAATAAGTTTCTTGTAAGAAAATACAACTCCAAGGGATCCCATTTGGTGTGGAAAACTGTCGTAGGGAGAAGGATCCCTTTCTAATGTGCTAAGTATCAATTCGCAATTTGGCTATTACAACAAGCTCAAAAGATTTCAAATCAGAGGTTTCTTTGGTTTGCACTCCCTAAAAATTCACCGAACTACTTAAATCATCAAAAGAAGCAAAAGCAGCTGCACTGGATTTGCATGATGAGGCCCATCAAACAATTATTTTAAGCCTTCAAATACTTTCCATCTTTGGCCTTGAATAACAGTCTGTGAGTCAATCCATAACATGAAATATCCTATGTAAAGTAAGACATACTAAATCATAAGCACAGGCTAGAATTCAACCCAAATGATGCACACCTTGCAAGGAAAACATGGAAATTAGAGTTTGCCTAAGATTTTGTATTTTACTGAAAATATTGATAATGTTCAGCAAGTTCAACTGACAGGACATTACCTTGGCTGCAGATACAGCAGCCTGACCCAGGTGGGAGCGGAAGTCGTTCATGACATTTGGCTGCATCAATGGATTTTCTATTACATTTGTTATAGATCTACAACAAGAAATCTAAATGAAAACTGTAGAAACTGAACATTACAGCTGGAGCTTCTTCAATTATCTTCTGATGTCTTCTCTGAACACTGCAGTCCCTTTCATATAAATGTAGTACATTGCCATGCTTGTCCCCAAATATCTATAAATTTGGAAAAAAAAAATATCAAACAAAAAATTCAAAACAATAATAAATGGTTCATTTTATTACATGGACACATATCAGACAAATTTCGAAATTGATACACAAAAAATCAAGAAGATCTAAGAAGAAAATTAAGACATAATTTTGTGAATATATGAATTAGAAAAGAATGCTGAAAGATTATTACACCCAATAGCAATACCTGAACTTCTATGTGTCTTGGCTTTGTGATATATTTCTCTAGCAGGATTGTATTTATACCAAATGAAGCAGCTGCTTCGCGTTGTGCTCCCAAAAAGAGTCGACAAATTCATGTGGACTTTGCACTATCCTCATACCCTAAAATCTGCACGTTGTGAGAACTTCATCCAAAAAAATAAATAAATATCCAACCTTTCTTTCATTTGAATGAATTTCATTTTCTTTTTTTCACAAGGAACTTGATGATTTTAATTTTCATCCATCCAATGAGAGGCAATGACGAACATGTACTGGACTACTGATGCATATTCCAATCAGAACTTAAGAGAGAGTTACCATGCATCCGTACCTTAAATGTTGATGTCTTGTATCAATACATCATCAATTATCTAAGGCAACTCAGATTCCTAATGGTACATGATAGCAGTTAAAGGAATAAAAAAATAAAATTGGCACACCTTTCCCCCACCTCCATGCGTCGGTTTTATTAAAATAGGGTATCCAATCGTATCTGCTTCTGACTTCATAATTTCAATATCTTGTTCACTGCCATGATATCCTGGGACAAGCGGCACCCCTGCGGCACCCATTATCCTCTTTGATGCACTGTTTTGAAATTAAAACACTGATTAAAAAAAAACAGGATTTTCTGACTAATAAAAAGCATAATACTAGCAGACACAGAGACAATGAAAGGTCGACACACTCAAACAGGCAGGTCCAGATTGAGTGGTAACAAAACACGGTATCAAATGCATTCATCCAAAGCCACATAATGCTTCAGAGAACAAAAAAGAACATGAAGTTAATTAAAAAAAAAGGAAGTTCTATCATACCTTTTATCACCCATGTCCCGGATCGCTGATGCTGGTGGTCCAATAAAAGTCAGACCTTTATCTTCACATAGTGTAGCGAAATCAGAACTCTCAGATAAGAAACCATAACCCGGGTGGATAGCCTGATATTCAAAAGAAGATATCGACTTTGGAAAACATGTCCTTGCATTTTCTTAAAAAAATAAATAAGCCATCAACCATCCATCTCAATGCATAACACACATTAAAAAAAAAAATTATTGTTCAGGAGAACCTTTTTTCTCTTTAATGAAAATGTTCATGGTTACTTGAAGCATTATAAACTCAAATTAATAAGCTATTCTACTACCACAATATAATGTGCAAATGGCCAACTCTTATGCACAATGACCAGCCATGGGCCATGGGCTTAGAATTTGGAAGGCAAACCAAAATAAAATGATATAAAAAGCTCCATTTGTCAACATCATATAAAGAGAAAAAAAAACAAAAGTACGGATTAATAAATGCTTCAATGTCTAGAAGGAACTTAAACACAAATAATGGCACAAAAAGAGAGGCTTAAACAGTCAAATATTAATCACGGTCAAACCTCAAGACTACAAGGTAAAATCGCCTAATGGAAGGATTGATACAGCAACTGCAAATACCAAACAATTACCTAACTTCAATTGAGATTCGAGATAACAAAAAGGACCAATTCAAATCATAATGAGCTTTACTATAATAACGATTTCAAGTAAAATTCACATAACGTTCACTAATTCATTAATTTCTCACTTTAAAAACTTTCTCAGCAACCAAAACGCAGCGTTTGGCTACTAACCTGAGCACCAGTACGAATCGCAGCTTCAACAATTGCGGAGGCATTCAAATAACTCAGCCGAGCCGGAGGAGGACCAATATGGACCGCCTCGTCAGCTGATTTCATGTGAAGCGAGTCTCTATCGGCGTCACTATAAACCGCGACGGTTCTGATCCCTAGGCGCTTCGCAGTCCGCATGATCCTGCAAGCGATTTCGCCTCGGTTTGCAATCAGGATTTTCTCTATGCGCGATGTCGTTTTGGTGTCGTGAGAGGAATATTCGACGGAGAAGAGTCGTGTTTGGATAAGGAAATATCTGTTGTTCTGGAGCTTTCGACGGAGGATGGTTGCCATTGACGCCATGCTTTTTGGAGCGAGTGAAGTGATGACTGAGGAAGAGGGAAGATGAGTCACGTTAACAGAAAATGGCAGTAAGTAAAGGGTGTTTTTTGGTCATTTAGAGTGCGAATGAGGGGTAGTTTTGGAACAAGGAGTAGAGTACGGACATAGAGAGATCAGACATGTATTGGTGATTGGATATGGATATGATGTGGTGCTTAGCTGGGAAAGTGTAACTATATACATTAGCATTATCTTGATGATGCTGATCGTTGATTGGTCTAGATGCATGCACTTGTGTCCAGAAGAAAAGAAAAAAAAACCATTTTCCATTTCTCTTCTTTTAAGTTTTAACTATCTTCTACAATTCAAGGTATGCAATTCCATGAGCATTCAGGGATAATTTTCCTAGTAAATTTACCCAAAAACCGGTTGAGGATGCATTTAAAAAATAAAATTTAAAGGAATTCTTAGATAAATTTCAAAAACTAAACATTTAGAATTCTTAGATAATCTTATTAAAAATTATTTTATTGAATTTGATGTATTAAATTTGAAACTTATTATTAGTGTTTTTTTAATAAAATGACGTATTTATATTATATTAAAATTTGAATCAGTTATAATTTACATAATTTTATCCGAATGTTTTAAATCTTGACTGCACAATCTTTTTACATGGTGCTGTGTGTGTTATTACTGATTAGTTTATTTGTGCTTTTTTAACAATACGATATTGAAAAACATATAAGAAAGCAACTGACACATGGAGGCCTGGTTCGTTTCCCGTGTGATCAAATTCCCAGAAACTCTGAGAGAGCCTAAAACTGGTTTGGATTTGTGCTATATATGGTTGGGCCAATTTTCGATGAGGAGTCCAAGACTTCCAGCCCAACCATAAGGAAATCGGACCTAAAGACGCAGGCAACGAATCCCTTCAAATAACCGAAGGTGAAATCCAATCTTTTCTTTTCTTGTCTTTTTAAACTTTCTTAGAATGGGATGAAATCCAACCTTACCGTGCCAATTAGGCAAAATTCACTTCTAAGATGTCATCTCATTTAAAAATTTAAGTTCATAGACGAGTTCTCAAAATATAATTTATATTAGTCTTTAACACATCCAAACTTATATAAATCTACATGAGAAATTGAAGATAATGAAATTTGAACTCAAGAAAGAATCATATCACCTAAAAATTTAAATTAATAGATGAGGTCTATAATATAATTTATATTAATCTTTAATACTAATTGACCAAAAAATTAATAATGGTGGATGTGGGTTGAAAAATATTACTGATGGTTAGCTCAAGGAACATTAATCGACATACATGATCATGTTGGCCTTGGATGCATAACGAGTGCCCATCACGGCGATCATGCATGTCGACGACATCCATCCGGATCATGCACAAAATAGTAAAACAAACACATGTTCCGAAAATGGCATACAAAACACAAGAATCATCCATCACATGTAAACCTATACATCCATGTGGATTCTCGTACATCTATGACCCATCACATAAAAACAATTTTAAGGGTTGATGTCTTGTTGAGAAATGGCTGCCTTTTTCAACATGCATGCCATCAAGAAATGCAGCTCATAAAAAGGCATACAGTGTGTCCTGAGATCAGCACATGGCACTTTGAAACCATTCATGACAGTTGGGGTGGGGGCAATGGGGTTCTCTTTCACAGTTGCTTGCTCTTTGCCTAACAAAATCATCACAAATATTGTATGTTTGCTTTTCAGAATTTTCAAGTAAACGGGCATGTGCTGTGGTTGCTACTCTATGGCATGGCAGTTGAGATCAAAAATTTGTATTCAACCTGACGAGAGAGGGCCCCTCAAGCGTAGGCCTTTTATCTTTTTTAACATGTAATATATATTTGAAGAGATATTCCTAAGTAACGAGGAACTGGATGGGTGAGTGGATGCACGAGTGACATCATTTTGTGGATGGGTTTGTCTGTTAACTTTTTGGATTTTGAGTCTCCTAGAAGCTCCAATAACAAAAGGGGTCCTGCTTGGCTTTCCTGCATTAATTCAGGCTATGATTTCTTCTTTTCCAGTTTGTGCAGGGAGGATTAAAGCGTGAGGTCAAGAGCGCTGGCAAAGCAGTGGGGTTCGGGATGGGTCACTGGCCTCCAATTTGAACCAAATCGCATGTGGCCGTATCAAGAATTTGGTAATAAAAAAAGAATTGAGAGTTCTTCATCTCGTGAATTTTTGAATATTTTAGAAGAGGAGAAGTTTATTAACAAAAAAAAAAACTAAAAATTAGTTTACTATTCATTAATATTATTTCAAACATTATTCATTTAGGCTTATATGCATTGTTATTTTTACTATACAAAGATTTTTTTATATAGTTTTCAGATTTTTTTAAACATATTTATTATGAAAGTTTAGTGACATTATATTTTCGTCTCTTTTTTAAAAAATATTATTTTTTTCATTTCATAAAAAAGTTTATTTTATTTTAATCTCTCTTTTTTTATTCATTTTGGTTACTTTGGTCCTTTTTTTTATTTTTTTAATTAAAAATTTTAAGGCAAAAAGATATTCAAAAAAAATAATTTACAAAATAAGTTTTTAGTTAAAAATATAGATAGAGGTTAATAAATAATATGTTTTTAATAAAAAAATTATGAAAATATAAAAAATAATTACTCAAATACAAAATTTTTATTAAAAATTATAAAATTGAATGAATTTTCATTTAATTTTGATTTGATATATTTTGATAAACATATAATATAATAAAAGATATCAAACTAAAATAATTTTTTAAAAATAATTTTATGTTTCCTAGTCGATTCTTAGTGCAATGCAAGTAAATAAATAAATAAAAAACTAATATAAACCAATCGAAAGTGTTATTATAGGTGGACCAAGAACAAGGGTGCAATGCTTGATTGAATGTTAATGGATTAGAAAGTAGGAACTGCGGTTAAAAAAAAAATGCATGCGTCGGTACTGTGTGGTTGATATTTTAGGCGGCTTGTTTATTGTTCGGCTTTTTAAGCTTTTCAGGCCAATAATTCGAGGCACTAAAAATTTGTTACTTTGTTTAGATATGCTTAATTTTTCTGATTAACTTTTGTGGAGTTGTGAAAAATAGCAGTTCCTCCAAAGAAGGGCCGTGAAAGTGTGAAGCCCTTGAAATTCACGCCACTCCACTAGTATGGAAAAACTCAACCATATGCTATATTTGAAATATATAACCAGACAATACCAGATTCGATTTTGATAAATTGATGGATGGATGGACAAAAACAGGGTAAAATCTTGTAAAATAGATACCGCTCTTGGGCATGCAAGTCAAAATTTACTCTGCCTGTTAAAATTGACCCAACCAACCTATACACATTATGGCGTTGGTTTATTATACTGTGCCTAGAATACCTAGACTTCTCCATAATCGCATCGCGCATATGTACTTGGGCTATTTATTATTTGGTAAAAACTGAATTATTGAAACTCATCAAACTATTAATTTTGTTACATTTTTTTAGAAATTAAACAAAAAATCTGAATTGAAATAATTTTAATTTTTGGATTCAGTTTTTTATATTAAAAAAGTGATTAAATCGAAAAACAATAATTTTTAAATATATATATTTAAGTCAAATCATTCACTACATTCATTATTCTCAAATTTAAAAACCCTTCTTCCCCATAAGCACTTCCTCCCACAACTTCATACGTGTTTTCTTTATTTGTGCTACAAATCTGGATATACATAAAATAGCAAAGGTATTGATAGATTTCTTATCATCTCAAATTCAAAATCTTTTTAAGTGAACCATTTATTATTTATTTATCTACTAATGCTTTTGTTATTTTTTGGGTGCAACTTATTTTCCTAACCAAGTGGTCTACAAAGCGAGAAAATAAATCCACTCTAAGGTTCCGTTTGTTTGGTAAAAAACAACTTCCATAAGAAAATCAATTCCTAAGGAAGCTATTTTTTGAGAAATTGTTTTTCAAAAAAATATTTTCCGTCATTTAACGATTACATGAAAAAACTATTGAAAAATATATTTCGAGTGTTTGTTTGATATAGAAAATTAAAATACAAAAACGAGTATGTGATTGTTACATCAACAAGTTTTGAGAAAACTTCAAAAAAATATATTCATAATTTCACAATATAAGATAAATTTAGAAAAATTTAATAAATTTTTATAAATAATGACTCTAAAATTTTAATTCAAAAAAATAAAATGTATTTTTTTAACCATCAAATCAATTCATCAAAATTACTTGTGACAAAATTAAGTCAATATTCACATTTAGTAAAAAAAAAAAAAATCTAAGTAATCCTAGCATTGTTATTTTGGTAACTCAATTAAGAATTCCTTTTTTTTTTTTTTTAGAAATTGAACTGATAATTTAGTCTAAAAAATAATTTTATAAATTATTAGTTATCATTTTTAGATAATTATTCATTTGATTTCAAAAGATTAATGTTTGAATAATTTGTAACTACTTATTCACTATAATTACTAACAAAATTTTACAACTGATTAAAATTACAAATTATTGATTTAGTTGTAGATGAATAATGTTGAGAAAATAATATATTTATTAATGAATTAATTAATTTTAATTTTTTTTATAAAAAATTACAATCTTGTAATAATCATTTTCAAACATTTAAGTATAGTATAAGTGGTGTTTGAGATAATAGTAAAAAAATAAAGATAAATTATTGAAATATTTATTATAAAAATAATTTTAAAGTGTATAAATGATTTTTAAGAATATTTAATGTATCTATAAATCAAAAAAATCAAATATTAGTAGAAATAGAGAAAAAAATAAATAATAAATAACAATTGATAAGGAATAATTAACAATTAATTTGATATATTTTAAATAAAAAAATATAGAGAAAAAAATTATTAGAATATATCAAGAGAAATAAGTAAATCGAGAGTGAGACAACTAGTGAGAAGGAAAATGTTTTTCCTCTTTTTAAACTAGAAAAACATTTTTCTAAAAATACTCTATCATTTTCGTTGACTATAAATCATTTTTCGTTGATTTTTTTCCTAAACGCGAAACAAATACTATAACCTAAATAGAAATCTCAAAAACTTTAATAGAATAAGCTATTTGAAAAAAAAAAACAGATAAAAATTAGTTTATCGAACATCGAAATCGAAATATTTTAAAACCAAACCGAATAACATTTCGATTCGGTTTTACTTATTTTTCTTGAAAATTTAGTTAACGAAAACTGATCCAAATATTTTGAAATCAAACCAAATAACCAAGCTAACACTCCTAACTCTGCATGTTAAAATTGATCCAACCAGCCTATACATATCATGGCATTGGTTTATTATACTATGCCTAAAATACCCAGACTCATCCGTCATCGCAGCACACGTGTATACTTGGGCATTGGTTTATATCAAATAAATAAATTAAAAATATGTAAATAATTTTTCAATTATATATCAAAATTTACATATATTTTAATTTTTTTTAATGTACTTCACCACCATCTATTTTTATGCATTATTTATCAAATCAACGGTAGCATGGACATAAATTAAGTTCAACCATAAAATTCAAGTACCCTAGTTTCACTAAAACGATTATAGTGATTTATTTTTTCCAAATCAGCTAGAGTGAGCTTTGATTTATTTATTTATTTTTATTTTCCCCCTGTGTAAATGAACATGGCGAATGGTTTAAAAACCCAGTACCAAAGGTATCGTAAGTTCTATGGCAGAGCCAGCAATAGTTAGCTTCTAAGGTAGAGGCAAAAACAACATCAATGATATGGAAGGGACCAGACAAAGTCTTAGAAGTCACCTTACCTAACTGCCTCGACTGGTCCCTCTTCTTCTCAGCTATTCCTACACGTCCCTTTCTAATCTACCATCACTGTTCTCCATGAAATCAAAAGCTTTGGCAATTTCCTTTGATTAAAAAAATAAAAGAAAAAACAACACTCTTACTTCATTCTGGTTATCTAACGAACAAAGTCTCCAAACTTGTGGTTTATTTGGAAGGCTGCTAAATGAAGACTAAAATGAATCAATTATCACCTTTTAGTATGTTACATCAAACAACCAAAAAAATCCAAGGTATCTTATGCCTTGTTCAATAATTCGATTTTAATCAATGTCTTTTTCGGCATATGAGTCCAGAGAATAATGCTTCCCACATAATTAGACTTTTGACCGCAATAACCTACTGCTATATGCCTATTTTAGTCCGTCTCCCCTTGCATAAAAAGATAGCAAAGCCGAGTGTGCAATTCCCGGTTTCCCCTCTCATCTATTTTGTCCTAAAGCCTCCGAAGTAACACACGGGCCACAAATAATTTATATTCGAAGTGACGTGCAAGGGTGGGTGCTATTGAAAAACTAACTCAAACCAAATCAAATTAGCAATTCTGATTTGATTCTATACGACGAAAAAAAAAAAAAAAAAACCGAAACTATTTCGATTCATTTTATGTTTTTTTTTTTAATTCAATTTACATCAAAAATCAAATTAGGGTTTTTTTTTTTTTTACATATATATCTAAGGCTTTTCACATAAACTAATTTACTAAAATTTGAACTTGTACTCTCTTGCAAGAGACTACTACTGAGCTCTTTGGTATATAATTTTTTTGAAAAAATTAATTATTTGGGAAAATCAATGAAACTGAAATTAGTTTGGAAAAAAATTAATTTTTTGTTTTAAAAATTAATTATTTAGTTTTTTTTTTTGTTCAATTTAAGTTCCTATCAACTTAAAAAAAAATGCTGGTAAAAAAAATTAAATAAATATTTGGTAATATCAATGAAAAAATATTTTTTAAAAAATAAATTAAATTAAATACGGTCAACATACTGTAAAAAAATAAATTTGTTAGGATATCAATTTTTGTGATGTAATTAAAAAAATGATTTTTTAGCTTAGTTCAATAGAAAATTCAAAATTCAGAAGAAAATCAGTTTTTAATGGAAAAATTCGATTTTTTAACCGAAAAAACCAAAACTCAATTCAGTTTAGTTTTTAGTTTTGTCAATTTGGTTAATCGAAAAAAATAATCAAAACTGAATCGAAAAATCGAATGATCACTCCTAATGATGTAGCTTAAAACCGTGAAAAATAAAAAAGGGATAATTAATATTCTTGTGAGTTTTTTTTTTTTACTATGTATAAACTTTATATCACTCGGATAGTTTTTTTGTTTTTTTTACAAGCGTGTAAGTCTAAAGAATTACAAAGAGATATTTATCAATTATCATACTGAAAAAGGCAATCTCTCAACTCTTTTCTGGTCAACAAATATCAATAATTTCAATCTTTTAAGTTGAAAGGTTAGTATATGAAAATCCAAAATGATATCGTGAACCGTTTAACAAGCCAATTTATATGACAGCTTGTCTCTTAAAATGCATGTGGAATGCTCACTTTCTATTACATTGAAAATAAATTGCAAGACCTATTACCATCAAACTCAGAAAAACAAAAATAACACACAAATACCATAAAAAATAAAAAAAGTCATTACAGTGTTGCCTTTTACAGCAGAGGCTAACATTGCCCAGTCCACCTCAAACTCTATTTTTCTAAAAAGAGGTAAGCGTATGCAGAGAATACATATTTTCTTTTCTTTCTCTTGTTTTTAAAATATAGATTTTTTTTATTTTAAAAATAAGTTAATTATTATTGATTTTTTAAAAAGAGATCGTCATATTTAACTTTTTATACATATTAAAACATCACCGATTGATATGTAATTATTTTTTATTGATCTGTTTTGCAAAGTGAGTTTTAATTAAAAAATGATAGGAAAATAAGCAGTTTATATTTTGGCTGGATAATCATTTTGGAAAAGAAAAAAATAAAAAGCCAAATAATCTCTTTAAATGGAAATAGTATACCATTCAAGCCAAACTTTCCATATATTTCACATAAGTTAGTTAAATGTTGACAGTGTTTCTCTGTTTTTGTAACTTTCTCTCCCCCTTAGATGGTCAGGATTCCATTCTTCATTTTAGGTCGGCCGTATTCTTTTTTTTTTTCACCTGATGGGACCACATTCAAATTAAATTAGTTAAACAGACTATTATGATGAACCATATGGATCAATTATAACACTTTTGTCCGGCTAGATGCCTTTTTTTCAGATACCCAAGAAGCGTTATGATTAAGACCATCTTTGCTTCTTCCACATTCATTCCTCCACAACCTTTTGACAGACTCCCACGGAAACGGACCTGGTGGCTCGTTGCTTCAGGCTGCAACACTCCCTGCGTCTTACGATGATTAAGAAGAGCGTACTATATTCTTATAGTCAAAAGAAAAGCAAAAAATAAAATAAAATAAAATAAATATAGGAAAAATATATAGTATTTTCCTTCAGTTAACTCCCACCTTATAAACTTGGCATCGCGGCCACACGAGCCGATAACACTTCGCACTGTGCTTAAAAAATTACTGGGTGTAATTCAAAAACAACGGGGATTATTTGAGTACAATTTTTTTTTTTTTTGGGGTAAAAAATGAAGTCTAATTTTGATGAAATAAGAATATGGTTTATGGTATTGCCTGGAGAATTGGCCAAGCGACGATTCAAAGGGAAGAGGGGAAAAAAAAAACAAGAAAAATAAATATTTGCGGTCTTAAAAAATTTCAATCATTTGACCTCTGGTGCATCTACTAGACACTATTTCAGACTTTCAGTAAATGTACATTCTATTTATAGAATGAGTTTGCAAAAAAAATGTTTATAAAACATTTTAATTAAATTATAAAGCAAGAAGGAACGTATATTATATGCTCATTAAAAAAAAAAAAAAAGAAAAGAAGGTATGTAGATTATACTCGTGGGCCATGACATACACGTGCTCGTAATTTTACATTAGGGGATTTTTAGTGGCGTGACGAATGACGGCCGTCGTCCGCCACCGTCCAGGCCCCACCGGTTTAAAAGTGCTGCCTCACACCGAGTCACATCCTTCCCATTCATACCAAAGCATTTAAGATTCTCATTTATCCAAATTACCATTATGCCCCGCTAGCTTTTTTTCCACGCTTACCTACCATATTCATAAGAGTTAATTGTTGATTGGTCCTGAAATTTACATCTAGAATTAATGACCACTTTGAAACCAACGGCTGCCACAGTGATTTGCGGGCTGGAAAATCTGATTTTTCCCGTTGGACGTTAATTTGGAGGCCTCCGAAATTGTTTTCAGGGGCAAATCTGTCAAATGAACAATGCTGATTTTCTTTACATTTAAGGTGTTAGTATTATCAACAAAATTAATTTTCTTACACAATTAAGTGTATTGTATACCAGTTTCCATGTACTGGAATCAAAAAGTATATCTAAACTCTAGTCAAATTTAGAAATTTTATTTCTCACAATCTATAATTGAGATTTTAAATCTTAATTTTGATGGTTGATGAGAGGATTCATCATTTGGATTAACCAATTTCAATGGATTGGAACAAAAAAAACATATTTACAATCTAGTTTTCTATAAAAAGATATTTTTTATAATTTAATTTGAGGCTTTAAATCTTGGTGGTTGATAAGATTATACACCATTTGAATTAGCTAATTTTCATGGATTGATCTGATAGTTAAAAAAAATTGTTTTATTATTTGATTTCATGAATTCGAAGGATCAGCGTGCAAAATTAATCTCTTAAGTCAACAAATGTTTGAAATGCAACCCTATCCTTTTTCTTTCTTTGTTTTTTTTTATTTTTTCTTTTTGAAGTACAAAATTGCTTAAATATTTTTTTGATAGACAACCTCAATTATCCGTATAATTAATCAAATTTTGTTTTCCTTTCCAAATGATTTTACCCTCAATTTACTCTATATTAATTATTACTTGGAGAAATGATTAAGGATGCAGAGCCATCCGTCAAACATGGCAACGCAATCTTCATTTTTTTCTTTTTCAAAAACCAGACAAAACAGTCATCCTTAGTCATAACTTCCTAAATCCAAATAATAATGATAATAAAAAAAAAACATTTTTGAACTCCTCACCATAAAAAGGACAAATTAGTCATTTCCATCTACCTTAATCAATGTGATACCGATTTTCTATTTCATTAATTTCAAGATACAACAAAATCTCTCTAATACCCCAAAAAATACAAGAGAATCAGGTAATATTTAAAAAAGAGCCGGTTGTTGCTAACTACAGGACTAGAATATGATTTCTCGGGTGATTTTTTTTCCAACTTTTCGAGTCATTTTGTCAGTTGCCAACTTTAATTTTGTTTGCTTTTTTATATTTTTTTACTCCTCCGTGACAGTTCTCTCACTAATAGGAACAAACGACAACATAAAAAGCAAGCAACAACAGCAAGAGAGAGAAAAACAAACAAATAAGAGTTACACACAGACGCACAGAGACACAGAGATCTAACAAACATGGGGTGATACCGGGAACAAAAACAGCGGAAGCAGCTCTACTTGTTTTTCTTGTAGCTGCTAATCAGATTAGCCTCTAAAATTTCATTTTGGTGAGTTTTTTTTATCTTTCAACTGTTCGTTACATCTTCCTTTGTTCAATGCACGTCAATGGTCAATGGACCGTGTTTTTCTGCTCTTGTCGTGTGGGATTACGTTAGTTACGTCTTTGAATTTTTGTTTTTGAACTTCCAATTACTTCTTTTTTGTTTTTTTAGAGTTTCATGCTGTAATTTGTTGTGTATGATCGTTCAGTTTTCTTCTTCTTTTTATTTAATTGAATAAATAACTGAATTCTTGATTCTGTGGAAAAAAATCATTGTATTATTTATTTATCAGATTCTTACATCTAAAATTTTTTATTTTATTTTTTTGTGTTCCTTTGATTTTTTGTGTGTACTTTTGATCAGGTTTCTCTTAAATTCTGAAGAGAGCAGTTACTCTTTAGTATACTAAATACTTTCTGGAGTTAAAAACCTCTACTGATCAGAATGTTTTTGCTTTTTTTTTTTTTTTTAAGTCTCAATTTGTTTGTTTCAAGTTTTCAAGGATCTGATGTTATAAATTACTAGTGCTGTTAACATTGAAATCAACTGAATTGATCATGTTTTGTCTGTTGATTTTGTTTACTCAGGTACAAAGAGTGAAATACGAAGCTCAATATTGAGAATCAGAGTTAGTTTGACTGGTTGTTGGCCTTATTTATATCTGGTTTTGGATTGGATCATCACTTATTGCTTCAAGGATCGTAGTTTTGTCGTTTCTGCATTCGGAATTGGAAAGTCGTAGTGCTATTGGATTGAATTATGGCTGCCAGGTCGCAAGCAGATTCTAAACTGAAATACTCATGGTGGTGGGACAGCCACATTAGCCCAAAAAACTCAAAATGGCTTCAAGAGAATCTTACAGGTATTGGTTTAGTTCTTAGGCATTCAGTTTGGATTTCTGTTTAGTGTGCAAGTGAGCTGTAGTTAACTGTTTTATGATTTTTCGTAGATCAAGTGAGTGAGCTATTTGGAAGACATGATAACCAACACATTACATTGAATGACATCAACATTTTTTGCCACAGCTGACTGTCGATTTTTTGAAGAATAACTTTTAATCATTTTTTTTCCTTACAATTGCTACATAGGAAGTGACAATAAACAAATTGAATAAATTGTAATGAAGATCGGTACTTTGTGTTAATTGTTGCTGCATAGTCCCACATATGCCAGTGCGATGAAATTCATCTCCTAACATCTCTACTGCAACTAGGCCTAAAAGGAAACATAATTAAAGAATTTCAAATGAATGAACGGAACCAGTTAAAAAACTTTTAATGTATGCACAAATTCAGTTATTTGGAAGCTTAAAAATGAAACACTGAATCCAATTCATTAGTTATTTCATTCTGTTGGTTTGATAAGTACAGATATAGCTTCCAAATCTTTGTCTCATGCTTGCATCTTTGATTTTCTCTTTCTTCTCAATTGGTAGGTTTTATCTGAGGGCTCAATCTAGAAGTTTTTTTGTTTTATTGCATAGGATTCCATGACCTCTGATATCTCCTTATTTTTGTGAATTGATTGTCCTTTTCTTTTTTGGTAAAGGAACCAATTTTTTTGGAGAATCATTCTCCTTGTTTTGCTACTCACTGGATCATTGATTATTTAACTAATAGTATCAGTTAATGAGTTCTTCACGTCTATTCACATCCTGGCTCTCCTGGGAGGGTTTGCGACTTCTTGTCCCATTCACAGTCAAATCTTCATCAATGATCAGTAACTGTTATTAGCTTGCCAAAGCATTTTTACTTTCCCGTTCAAATATGAGGCCTGCTAACCTCCTACACAATGCATGAGAACTGGAGATACATCCATGACTGCTTAGTACAGCTTCAAATTTAATTTGGTGCTTCGTGGTTAAGAAAACTGCAGTTACTAGCAGAAGTTGGAACCAATGAAAATATTTTATCACTAATTACTTGTAGACCACCACAGTGTCTTATACTTATCCAAAATATATAGTGAATTTGTGTTTTATCTTCTCCATTGCTTCTTTCATTCCGTAGGTTTTGTGCTAGACTTACAGCAGCATTTTCTATCTATCTGCATTTAACTGTCAACAATTCTCTTTTCTATGAACAGACATGGATTCCAAAGTCAAACAAATGATCAAACTCATTGAATTAGATGCTGATTCCTTTGCAAGGAGGGCAGAGATGTACTATAAGCAACGCCCAGAGCTTATGAAGTTGGTCGAAGAGTTTTATAGAGCATATCGTGCCTTGGCTGAAAGATATGATCATGCCACCGGGGCCCTTCGGCAGGCGCATCGAACAATGGCAGAAGCATTTCCCAACCAAGTCCCCTTTATGCTGGGTGATGATTCCCCTGCAGGTTCTGCTATTGATGGCAATCCCCGTACACCTGATATGCTGCCAATACGCGCACCTTTTGACCCTGATGAGCTGCAAAAGGATGCTTTGGGCGTCTCACCATCATCCCATGCTATCAATAGGAATGGAGCTTTTACTGAAGAATCAGATTCTGTTCCTGGAAGAAAGGGTTTGAAACAGTTCAATGATCTTTTTGGGTCTGGAGATGGGGTGAACCATGCTAAATTTGCAGAAGGGAGGGTGAGAAAAGGCCTCAGTTTCCATGATCCAGAGGAGAAAGACCGAGGTGTGCAAAACAACAGCAGCCATGATTTCAAGGTTCGAGTCCCATCCGAGTCTGAGCGAGTGAGTAAAGCCGAGCTAGAAATTTTGACTTTAAAGAATGCACTTGCTAAACTAGAAGCTGAAAAAGAAGCTGGCCTGCTTCAGTATGAGCAGAGTTTGGAAAGATTGTCTAATCTGGAGTCAGAAGTCTCTCGTGCAAGAGAGGATTCCAGCGGACTTAATGAACGAGCTGGCAAAGCTGAAGCTGAAGTTCAAACTTTGAAGGAAGCCCTTGTCAAGTTAGAGGCTGAAAAGGAATCTAGTTTTCTTCAATACCAGCAGTGTTTGGAAAAAATATCTAATCTGGAGAACCATATCTCCAATGTCCAAAAGGATGCAGGAGAACTAAATGAGCAAGCTAGCAAGGCTGAATTTGAAAATCAATCTCTAAAGCAAGACCTGGCTAGATTAGAAGCTGAAAAAAATGTTGCGGTGGTTCAGTACAAACAGTGTTTGGAGAAGATATCTGATCTAGAGGACAAATTACTGAGTGCACAGGAAGACGCCAGGAGGTTCAGTGAGCGTGCAGATGATGCTGAAAGGGAAATTGAAACCTTGAAGCAAGCTTTGACTAAGCTAACTGAAGAGAAGGAAGCTGCTGTCACTCAGTACCAGCAGTGCTTGGCAACAATTGTCAGTCTGGAGCTTAAAATTACTTGTTTTGAGGAGGAAGAACAAAGGCTTAACTCAGAGATAAATGATGGGACTGTGAAGCTAAAGGGTGCCGAAGAGAGGTGTATTCTGTTGGAAAAATCAAATCAAACCATGCACTCTGAGTTAGAGTCACTGGTGCAGAAAGTTGCAGCTCAAAGCGAAGAAGTTACGGAGAAGCAGAAGGAGTTGGGGAGACTTTGGACTTTTGTCCAAGAAGAGCGCTTGAGATTCGTTGAGGCTGAAACTGCTTTTCAAACTCTACAGCATCTGCACTCTCAATCTCAGGAAGAACTGAGATCTATGGCAGCTCAGCTTCAGAATAGGGCTCAAATTTTGGAGGATCTGGAAGCTCGCAATCAGAGTTTAAAAGACGAAGTGGAGCATGTCAACTTGGAGAACAAGAGCCTAAGTGAAGTCAACTTATCTTCAGCTCTGACTATACAGAATCTGCAAGATGAGATATCAAGCTTAAGGGAGACCATAATGAAACTTGAAGCGGAGGTTGAGCTTCGAGTGGACCAAAGAAATGCTCTTCAGCAAGAAATTTACTGTCTAAAGGAGGAAATAAATGATCTTAACCGGAAGCATCAGGCAATCATTGGGCAGGTGGAATCAGTTGGTTTAAGTCCAGAGTCCTTTGGGTCGTCTGTGAAGGATTTGCAGGATGCCAACACAAAGCTAATGGAGGTTTGTGAAAGGGAAAGAAGTGAAAAGGTAGCTCTTTCGGAAAAGTTGGAGATCATGGAGAAACTTATTGAAAAAAATGCTCTTCTGGAGAATTCTTTATCAGATTTGAATGTTGAGCTAGAAGGGGTTAGAGAGAAGGTAAAGGCACTGGAAGAATCCTGTCAATCTCTTTTGGGAGAGAAATCTGTTCTTGTTTCTGAGAAGGCTTTGTTGTCCTCTGAGTTGCAATTTGTAACTGTTAATTTGGAGAAACTTAAAGAGAAGAACAACATTCTGGAGAGTTTCCTCCTCGATGCAAATGCTGAACTTGAAGGGTTGAGGGCAAAATCAAAGAGCTTAGAAGATTTATGCCTGCTGCTTGAGAACGAGAAGTCTGACCTGGCCTCTATGAAAGGAAGTTTAACTTCTAAGCTGGACATCACTGAGAAAAGCCTACAGGATTTGGAGAAAAATTATACAGAATTAGAAGAGAAATATTCCCTTCTGGAGAAAGAGAGAGAATCCGCAGTCCATGAAGTAGAAGAATTAATGGTTTCTTTAGATGCTGAAAAGAAAGAGCATAATAATCTAGCCCAGTTGAGTGGGTCTCAATTGGCTGGCATGGCATCACAGATCTGGTTGCTACAAGAAGAAGGTCAACGCAGAAAGAAAGAATATGAAGAGGAGCTGGACAAAGCGGTGAATGCGGAGATTGAGATATTTATTTTGCAGAAATGTGCACAAGGTCTGGAAGAAAAGAATTTTTCCCTCTTGCTTGAGCATCAGAAGCTCCTGGAGGCATCTAAACAGTCTGAGAAACTGATTTCTGATCTAAAACACGAAAATTGTGAACAACAAGTAGAGGTGAAATGCTTATCTGATCAAATTAAAATACTGAGGGTGGGACTTTACCAGGTGTTGAAGGCTCTGGAACTTGATGCAAACCAGTGTGAAAGTAAAGCTGAGCAAGACCAAAAACTCCTGAACCATTTACTCGACAGGCTTCAAGAAACACAAGAGTTTCTCTTCAAGATGCAAGATGAAAAGCAGCAGTTGGTTGTTGAGAACTCTGTTCTAGTTACTCTGCTTGGGCAACTGCAACTAGAGGTGGAAAATCTTGTGATGACTAAAAATATCCTTGATCAGGAGTTGACAACCAGGTCTGAGCAGTTCTTGGTTTTGCAGAACGGGGCCCAAAAGCTTTCAGGGATAAATGAAGAGTTGAAATTGAAGTTAATAGAGGGAGACCACAAAGAGGAGGCTTTGAAGGTTGAACTAAACAATCTTCACGGACAGCTGTCAGACTTGCAAGGTGCTCACCAGAACTTACAGGAAGAAAACTGCAAGGTTCTTGATGAGCACAGATCCTTGAAGAAATCATTTTCCGACCTGCGGATGGAGAAATGTAAACTAGAAGAGGAAAACTGCTGCATTCTTGCTGAAACTGTATCTGAAAGTACCCTTTCTCTAATTTTCAGGGAGATCATCTGTGAAAAATCTGCAGAAATAAAAAGCCTCGGTGAAAATATAGATAAACTGTATCGTGACAATAATGGTCTCAGTGAGAAGTTGAACAATCTGAAGTGCAAGTATGATGAGATCGAGGTGATGCAAGCAGATCAAGAAATTCAGATCATCAAACTATCTGGAGATTATGATCAGAAAAGTAAGGACGCTGAACACATTTGTGAAGTAAATCAGAAGTTGGAGTCTGAAATGAGGAAATTGCATGAAGAATTTCAAGAAGTTAAATGCAGGGAGGAAAATTTGAGTCATGAACTGACAAAGGGAAGAAATGAGGTTGAATTACAAGAGTCTCAGGCTGTTGCATTGTTTGGTGAACTACAGATATCTGCTGTCCGAGAAGCCTTGTTTGAAGGAAAGCTTCATGAGCTCCTTAAATTATGTGAGAGCCTTGAAGATGGAAATTGCTCAAAAGACCTGGAGATCAACCAGCTGAAAGAAAGAGTTAGTACTTTGGAAGGCAGAAATGCAGAACTAAAAGATCTGATGGTTGCATATTTTCCAGCTTTCATGTCTTTGAGGGACTGTGTAGCATCACTGGAGAAGCGCACACTTTCAGATGCGGCATTTAATGAAGTTGACAACAAGGAACTGAAGGTAATTTCTATTTTATCTGATTTTGAATGTTCCATTATTGCGATTTTACTTGGTCTGGTTCTACAAGTGACATGACCAAAATCGAATCCATTAATTATCTAATCATACTCTGTTTGTAAAATTAATCACATTGATTATTCCTTGAGATTTTATTTGTTGTAACCTTTATAAGCTCTCAAGCTTCATTCAAACCCAAAGTTGATGTGCCCGGACATTAATTCCACTAATGTTCCTCACTTTGCCGTTTGACCCATAGTATATAATACTAATGTTATTGATTTATTTATTTATTTTATTTGATAATTTGTGAGCTTCTTATCTGCAACATCGGGATTTATCAATGGTTATTTTTTCACTTCTTCCTCATTCCCATTTAAATGTGGGCCTCCGTAACATATTTCTTCAAATCATTTTTGTTAGTACATTGTCATTTCTGAACCCTGTTCTAAAGTAATCTGGTTCTCATTTTCATTGCTATCGGACAGGATTTATATAAGCTGCCTTATGGTAGTAGTAAACTCTTCATAAGCTGCTAATACACATTGTTTTGTATATCATTTTAAGTTCATGGTTTTAGATATTTTGCTTATATTTCACTTGTTGCAGGATGCTGCAATGGTGGTGCATGCTGAAAGCTGTCAACAAACGAGTGAAGGACAGAGTGGCTTGGTGCCAGGTGGAACTTTGAACTTCCAGGAATTGCAAATAAGGATTAGAGCTATTGAGAAGGCGGTCGTTGAGAAGGAGAGACTTGTTATGCTGCAAAACTTGAGTTCTAGTTCCAAACTCGATGCTGCAATGAGGCAGATTGAGGAGTTAAAATCTGGAAGCAGCTTGCATCGAGCAGGTGTTGAAACAAGGAAGCATACTAAGCCAAAACCAGAGCATGAGGAACTGAGGGCCATGCCCAGTGATGATCTCACGCAGCAGAAACGAACACATGAAATATCCGAGGATGGTAGTGAAGTGATGACAAAAGACATAATGCTTGATCAGATGTCTGAATGTTCATCCTATGGAATCAGCAGAAGAGAGACTATGGAGACTAATGATCAGATGCTTGAAATATGGGAAACTGCTGACCGGGATGGTAGTATTGACCTGACTGTTGGAAAAACTCAGAGGATGACTGCTTCACAGGCGAAGAAAAAACACATTACGCAGCGTACTTCTGCAGAATCAATGGTTGAGAAGGAGGTGGGTGTGGACAAATTAGAGATCTCAAGGAGCTTATCAGGGTCTCGTCAAGAAGGAAATGAGAGGAAAATTCTAGAAAGACTTGATTCGGATGCTCAAAAGTTGACAAATCTTCAAATAACAGTTCAAGATTTGAAGAGTAAGGTGGAGATTACAGAGAAGAGCAAAAAGGGAAAAGGTATTGAATATGATAATGTGAAGGAGCAGCTGGAAGAATCCGAGGAGGCCATCATGAAGTTGTTTGAATTGAATCGCAAACTAATGAAGACTGTTGAAGATGAGCCATTGTACTTTGATGAGAAATCGGCACTAACACCAGATGAGAGTGGCAGTGTAAGGAGAAGAAAAATATCAGAAAAGGCAAGAAGAGTGTCAGAGAAAATTGGGCGTTTGCAGTTGGAGGTGCAAAAATTGCAGTTCCTTTTGCTGAAACTTGATGACGATAACAAAAGTAGACGAAAGACAAAAATCAAAGAGCAAAAAGCTAGAGTTCTACTTCGGGACTATCTGTATGGCGGAACAAGAACCACCCAGAAGCGAAAGAAAGGGCCCTTTTGTTCATGTATGCAACCTCCAACTAAAGGAGATTGAGGCTATTACAATTCATCGGAAAATAATCGGTGTAGTTTGATTTTTAAATTGAGACATTAGTCGCTTTGTGCATAAACTTTCCTTGCTAGATATGCTGCTATATAGAGCAAAACTTTTTTTTTTTTTTTTTTTTTACCTTCCTTGCTTTGAGAGGACCCGGTCTTCTTTAGTTTAGAGATCCTGCTGTACATGTCAGGCCCCGTCTAATCAAAAGAAGCTGCTCTATTAGAGCTTGTTTTTCTCTTCATTTTGTTTGCACGTTTCACCAACACTGAACTTTACATGAGGAACTAATTTTTCTTACCAGGACCTTTGTCAAATATAAGACGATCCAATAGATTGTTTGCCACCAAAAGGAATTCCCTCGGTGGGGTGATGAAACTCGAAAGTCGATACAAAAGCCCAGTAATTTGCTATTTTCCAACGAAACTGTGTTTTGTCCTATTGTTCAGCTGCCAAGGCTAAATTTCAATCTTTTGCTGGGGTGGATCATTGATTCCTAAGGTTTTTTCTCAGTTGATTTAAGTTCACATATATGTGCTTTCTCCCTCTCAAGTATCTATAATATAGCACTATACTACGTGTATTCCTCCTGACAGAATACATGCACGCGAAGACCACTGGGATAAACCAGCTCATTTTCTCAAGTAATTGACCATCAAAGAAAATTTAAGTGAAACCGTGGATATATTAACCATGCAAAACCCATCACTCTCAAGGAGTAGGATTAAGATTAGGATTGGGATCATTAAAAAAAAAAAAAAGATTGGGATTAGGATTGGTCTGATGGCCAAGGGATACTGCAGAGTTATCTTCGTTTGCTGTTTACTCCACACTAAATTCTTACATCTGTGACTAAATGATTATATTGGTTCGAACTCCAGAGTTCACAGGAAAAATTCATCCCAAGGTGAACCTACAAGAAAAGGAAGCATTGGCACTTCTGCTAAAGCACTCAATGCTTCATACTAAACTTCTAAAAATGATGCTTTATACGGAAGAGACTAATATTATATGGCAAAATACGTACCAAAAGGCACTAAGAATGGATCTGTAACCCTTCATAAGATAGAAAATACAAGAGCATGTTGGAAACCTTTTTTTATGGACGATTTCACAGTATATGGATTTAATTAGTATCATTAATAATTCTAAATTCACATGACACCTGGTTACTTGCTTACAGCACTGTTGAAAGATTTTTCTTCGAAACAGACTTCTATTTATTATGCTGCAAGTGTTTTGCCAGGTTTTCCCTCGCCATTTTTCCCAAGGGATCAACTTGCTTACAACATTGTTCTCCATAACCAGAGTCATGATGACCCGCCAGTGCAACATCAGAATGCAACTGATCTCCACAATCGATTATAATATTGTGGAGTAAACAGCAAACCAAGATAATACTTGGCAGTTTCCGCTTATCAGGTCTCCACATAACCTTGCTGAGGATTCTCCAACTGCCCTTTAACTGCAAGAAAGACCTCACTGCAAGCAACCTTGCAGCCTCATGCCTGGCATTGAAAGTGGACATGGAAGCTGAGATTCCATCACTTGCTTCAGGAGTTATGAGCCACGGAAGAAGAGGATAGCCTACCCCACCAACAATATACTCTCTGATTTCTGATCCTTGAGATAAATTCCTTGAATTTCCATGCAAACGTTCTCCATTCTCACAGAGTTTGAAAAATCCTGAGCACTTTAATAGTCTTGGCACTGTCATGCCACCAGGCCAACCTGTCACAATATCTAAAAATCTCATTTCATGGTCAACAATACCCTGCAAAAACATGCTGTAATTTTTCTCTCGGTCACACCAATCATCCGAGGTTTCCACTGCTGGAAGGGTCATGATGATATGTGTTGCATCAATTGCTCCACAACAATTCGGCAAGCCAAATAAAGTGTCAAATTTGCACTTGATTTCCTCCATTCTATTGGAATCAGGCCACTTGAGATGGTGCTTGGCCCGCTCTTCCAATGCTTCAATGAATCTCCAAGTCACTTGAGAGACGGTAGACTGACCAACCCCAAAGGAAGCCCCAACTGAGACTTGGGACTCGCCAGATGCCAACCTTCTTAGAGCAATCGCAACCTGCTTCTCAACACTAAGAAGCCTTCCCTCGATGTTGATGAGTCCAGATGGTGGCCTCGATATAAGGTCTTCTCTTACAAGAGAGCAAATGTATTCAAAAGTCTTCTTGGAAACCCTGAAGAAATACTTAAAACCTTCTTCCTCGTCGGATGGTGTATCTACAAGGCCAATCTCTCATTTTTAGCACTGATACACATTGGACATCAAAATCCCAAGATTTAAAATAAAAAAAAATTGTTAAATTCAATATGGTCAATGCTCTACATGTTTTGAAAAGCTTCAACTTTGTATTCAGTTCAATTTCACTCTGCATTTTCATTTTGCAGCCAGGCACTCAAGCACAGAGGACATACAGGTCAGAGATTATAAGCAGATGATAAATTAGAAAGCAATTTCTCATCAGAAATTAATTTCATTATTATTATTATTTATTATACTGAACAGCAATTAAGAATAGTATTATTACCAGAAATAAGAGTGAAAAGCAAATTCCGTTGATTATACGAGCATTTTCAGACTGAACGATTATTAAAAGAGAAAACCCAATAACACGAAAAATCAGTAACTCAAAAAAAAAAAAAAGAAAAGAAAAGAAAAGAAAAGAAAGGTGGGTGATAGTAAGAGCGAGAACCTGGGAAAGAAGAATTTTTGAGCCAGAAAGTATCCCACCAATCGGAATCAATGGCAGAGGGATCGACGGGAACTGAGGTAATGCTTTTGTTTTTGCTTTTATTTTTTAGTTTCTTCTTTTTCAATTTCTTTGACACTTTTTTGCTTTTCTTCGATTTGTTAGGCGGAGCCATCTGATGTCGCACTAGAGAAAATTTTACGACAACTGATGCCCTAATCCGTAAAAATGTGGTTTTTGTAAAGAAAAAAAAGAAAGAAATGGGATTAGCTGATTTTCTAGGACAATGTCTGATTCTACGAGAAAGTGAAGGTAGAAACTAGAGAGAGTGTGGTCTGCCTGTCTGAAGATGGCTCTGTGACGGTGAGCGGCCAGCGCTAACTTACCAACAACGCTTTTCCTAATTCGTATACGAGACTACATACGGTGTCGTTTAGCACGATTTAAAGCATAGATGCTGTCGTATAAATTTAATCACTTTGACCAGAGGCTTCGCTCTTTTGTTCTTCCTTTTTTTTAAAAAAAAAATAAATAAATGCTCCAAATTTTTAAACTGTTCGATGAATTTTCTTTCTTCTTAAATTTAAAATAAATTATAGTAAAATTATAACTTAATTCACAAATTAATAAATTTAATATTTATTGGTGCAGAAACATACGAAAATACTTCATTATTAGTAAATATTAAAAAAAAAGTTATATTAAGATTAGCGTTCTATAGACTTATGGATAAATAGAATCTAGTGATAAATATCGTGCTGGGTTGTCAAACAAATTGTGGATAATTAAGGGTCGTAGCCCAGAGAAGCAAAATAATTGTTTGATCCTCCCAATATATTTTGCTGAAATTGAACAACCTCTCAAAGGAATGGCCAAGGCTAATTACAGCCCAATCTGCTCGAATCTTAATTCCTTACCCTTTGGATAGTGTTTTGACTAATGTACATGACACGTAGAGACATAAATCCAACTTTGTTCGGCCAAATTTCTGTATCTCCTTCAGAGGGATACATAAAACAAAAGAGAGACAATTTTTTTTTTTTCATAATAATTTTTTAGTTAGAATATTGAGAATTCAGCTTTTGACAATGCAAGCATAAAAATCCGATAAAAATAGCATTGCTTTTATTAACGAATTAATTCATCAGCGTTTTGGCCTTTATATCCATATTCCAAAATCAAAATTATTCCTAGTTCCAGCCTCCATCATGGGTTGAAGCAGAGGGCAATGTGGATTTTGCAGAAGCTTCTTCGGGTGGCAGGCAATAACATTCATGGATTCTCTGTAAAAAGAGAGTAAAAGACGCAGTCGCCATCACGAGTACATGTTGCTGCCGATCTTAGTACACCTGCAACATCAAGGTAAATATATCATTGTCTTTGTAAAGCGAGATTCATTAAAAAAAATCTGGAAAAAAAGTGCTAATATAAAAAACAAAATAATAAACAAATATATTATTACAAATACAAGGATGGATAATCTGTGCACAACTAGACGCAAACATCTAACACAACACAGCACAACACTAATTCTTCAACATACAAAGTGAGAGAGTAAAAGAGAGGGACTCGCCAGAGGCAAAAACCAAGAGGACGAAGAGGAGGGCAAATTTCAAAGAAGCTTTCGCCATTTTCTGAGTGATGTATAAGCTAAAATATATTTGATTAATTAATTTGTCGCATAGAACTGGGTGAGCCAATACTCTTTTTTATAGGCGGGCAACTTATGTGATCGTTCTAAGCTAGCCAGGAAAGATTGCGAGGAATGTTAAAAAATATTTTCCCACCTATTTACGTGATCATATGCATGCACATATAGATGAAAAATACTAAAAATTACCTTTAATACATCTTGTTACTAAACAAGAATAGAATAGATTTAAAAATGTTTTTGTGTATATATTTCTTATCCATAAGTCTACTACCCATACATACATACATACATACATACATATATATATAATGCAATATACAAGTGTGATTTTCTCTTCGATTACAGTTGATTTGCAGCTGGATATAGAGGAAGTATCAAAATCTGGAGCCAATGGATGATGTGATCTGACTAGGATTGCTTGGATTTGGAGTGATCTGATCCAGGGTTACTGCTGATGGAGAAGATATCCTTTGCCATTGCTTGGGAGTTCTTAACCATATAATTACACTGCCTTTAGACCAAGAACCAAATACTTCTCTTTCTTGGTTAAAGAAAAGTTTTCAGATACCTTTCTATACAAGCGTAAAGGGTTTCTAAGCTTGTCCAACCTGACTTAATTGGATCGATTAGCCAGTACTGAACTGGCTGGCCCATGGTTAATGTTCAAGCCAGCCTAGCCAATTAAGCTTGATATTCATCAGGTTAAGAACCAAATATACATAGATTACACCGAGAATAACACTTGCCTGTAAAACTAAGAGATTAAAAAAAAAAAAAAATCGTAAGCTTTTTTACTTCTGGAATCAGGACTAGCTTAACTGGCAGGTGCTAGGCAAATTATTCCTTGGGCCCAACACTTTAAAGCAACCAATTCTATAAAACGGGGCCAATTGTTCAAGATCCTGGGCTAAAGTTTCACAGTTCACCAGTAGTAGGTCCAATCAAGGCCCAAATCAGCAAGAGCCCAAAATATTTGTCTTTCAGCTTGCGGCAGCATGAGAAAGCATAAAATGTGATAAAAGTAGCAACATTTTCGATCACGAATTAATTTTAATTACTCTTTTTAGCATTAAGATTGATCATTAAATGTTGCTAAATAATCCTAGTGCATTATTCTAGGCCTATCTGGACTTACTTTTAATTTCATTTTCTTATTTCTACATTGATGGCAAAAGTTGGATGCAGAGTCGAATCTATGTTTTGGTGGCTCATTAGAATCACTCCAAAAGGCTTTCCATTCGAAATCTCATGTATAAAACAGACACATTGTACAGCTGATATTGCCTTGTTGGAAGGAAAAAAATGCCTCCAACTTAACTAATTATGCGTGAAGTGAACTTCTGTTTCACTTCTGTTGAATTAATGATACATATTCATAGAGATGACCTATATGGAAAGTTACTCTTGCTGATCGACTTTGTAATCCTACTTGATCGACAGCTTAGACTTTGTCATCTGCCTCAGATTCCTCTTTCGAGGGGTTAGGTTTGCCGGTGTGAAGGATGAAATTGCAAGCTCCAACAGCTTCTCCTACTGTTAAAAATATCCATTCTTGCCCTATTTTTTCGATAAACTTGGACTTGTTGAGTTTCTTCATTACTTCAGCTCCAGGATTGGCCATGACAAGCTATAAACACGGCAGCAGAACATATAAATTAATAGCGCATGATAAATCAAATTTGTGCAAGATAATAGAGTTTGATGAAGAATGTACCTTGAGCTCCCTTCTGTCCATTACTTTCTTAACTTCCTCAAGCATGCTAATCCCACTTGTGTCAATGTTACCAACCGCTGTCAAACCAAGAAAGAAAGTGTAAATCTATTTTCTATATATAATCGTTTTTGGCCGAAGGAAAACGCAGGATCATCGCTCACCTCCCATGTCTAGTATAACATACTGTAGGGTGGTTTCTCCTGAAGATTTTAACTTTTCTTCCTCTTCATCAACCCACCTCGCAATCCTGATTGATATAACATATACAATAGCAGTACTTGTAAGCTTATAATTTAATTGGTTAATTTTAAGTATTCTTAGCATGTAGATATAGAGGAAATTGTTTTTTCTTAGATTTGAAGCTTGGGCCGCACCTTTCTCTTAAGTAGCCTGCATTTGCAAAGTAGATGGGAGCATCAATCTCAAGTATGAGAACACCAGGAACGCTGCTTGTGTTTGGATATTGTTCAACATTTCTGTAGATCATCGAATTTGGAATGTTTCCAAGAATAAAGGTTTTTGGTCTTGCAACGAACAGAAGTAGTCTAAGCAAAGAAATCGCCACCTGCATTTGCACAAACGAATTAGTATGAAAGGATGATACGTAGACATTTAAGATTGCAAGTTTTAGGCCTTAATTTAGTGGTCCATACCGCGATGACTAAGCCAATCTCAACGCTGCTGAAAATCACACCACCATATGCGCCCATGCACACTATGAAGTCGAACTTGTCGACAGACCAAAGATGGATTGCAGCTTCATAATCTATAAGACCGAGCATAGCAGCGATAATAATAGAGGATAGAACCACAAGTGGAGTGTAATGGAACAATGGCGTTAGGAACAACAGTGTGACCATGACTGCCAACGCCATGACAATATTTGATACTGCTGTCTTGCATCCTGCATTGAAGTTCACTGCTGATCGCGAAAATGGCCCTGAAATTTCATTTATCGACAAAACCTTAATTAGTTCCATATTATAATCAAGTTTGATATACATTATTCTTAATTACAAGCAGGGGAAGAAAAAACTGGCAAGTCAGTGTATACCTGTGGTAAGATAGCAAGAGGTGCAAGAGCCTACAATGTTCATGGTCCCAAAAGCAATCATCTCTTTGTTGCCATCTATATGGTAATTCTTGAACATGGCAAAACTTCTTCCTACTGCTATTCCTTCCTGTAATTAAATAAACAAGCATTTTGTTAAGGATATAATGTCTCTATTAATTAGATAGTAAAATTTCTCTTATTTTACAGGATTAATTTGCTAATGATGCATTTTAGGAGGTCCAAAAATAATAAATCATCTTGCTGAATTTGTGGTGTCCATAAACCATCTTGCAGGTCTTAGTTCAACTTCTAACTTTATTAATATTGGAAAAGAAAAATTGCAGAGGAGAAGGCTGCTTACAGCAAGAGCTATGACGCCAGTAACGATGCCAGTTTTAATAGCTGTGGAAAGATAAGGAGATACAAACGCGAGATCCGCAAAGGACGGTGGATTTAGTCCTTTCTTCAAGTGTCCTACCTGAATAAATTACACCAAAGTACAGCACATGAGAACATTAAAAAAAAATGTTAAAAATTGACCCACCAATGACTAATCAAGAGTGACTATCAATGTCCAAGTTGATTGGTAGGGTCCACCCACCCTCTATCATTGGTTGGAACCAACAGCTTGGTACGCAACAATTATTCGGTTTAGGCCCAAAAAGACAAAAATCATGTACCCAATAGGCCAAACCCATACGTAGGATGGACCTTGGCCTCATCATCTTCTTCTTTTTCTTTTTCTTTTTTCTTTTTTTTTTTTGACAGTAACTGTGACCTTGGTCTCGTCCTACCCTTTTTGGTGGTCCAACCCTAATTTTTTCTCGTCGGACTGAACCTCTTTGTTTGCAACTTGCAATTAAGTCGCCGTTTTCTTTAAAGAATACTAGCAGCGCTAACAGACAGGGACTTGTGTTCCCTAAAAAAGTGAACAAAATACACACAAGAAGGCAGACGCTGTCAATAATCTATGGGAATGCTCACCACTTGAACCCCATGTTTCTCAGCATGAGTGACGTAGACGAGGATGCTTCCTAGAATAACTGACGTCAATGGTGCCATTGCTGATACCCAAAAGAATTTTGGTTTTCTCTTGCTCTGTACAAGGAGTCAATCAACAGATCATTATTATTATTATTTTATGTCGGTATTAAACTAATCAGATGAGCAAATTATTAGATGCAACACGACAACATTAACGTCCATACACGTATAATATAATTAGTGTAAGAATATTGAAAAATGAGGTAAGAAATTCCTTCAGAATTCCTGTCGATGAATTGGATTTTAAAAGTCATTGTTTTTTGTTCTCAAGTTATGCTAACAAGTTGAAAATGAAGGCGTGAAGACTGAAGAGATATATATAATCATATCAAATTGTAGGATCTTTTACTATTATCTACACGAATCAATATATTTTGTAGAGTGGACCAGGTAAAGAGAGAATTTTGATCCCAAATTAAATTATTTATATTGGTATATACACGCTATTGACAAACATGAGTGATCAGTACAACAGACTAATTAGTGAATCAATTCATAATTTAAAATTATATATATTCACGCTCTTCATTCTGTTTTATTTAGTTTTGGCCACGACATGTGGGGCAACTGGCACGTGAAATCAGAATAGCAATCTGCAGTTACGCGAAAGATTGAAACTATATGGTGTAAAAAAAAAAAAAATCTATTTTCATAATTTCACTTACAAAGTATCTGGTGATGAGAAGGAAGAACAGGAAGCAAAAGCCCAAAACGGCACTTTCCCATCTCCACTGCATTGATAATCAAGAATATTCAGGGTTAGCTTAACTTCTTTCGACATTATATTTAATTTCCGAAGCAGACATTTTATTTTAGTATATAGTATGGCACGCTTATTTATGTTTGCTGTAATATAATGTAATAAGTGGATAATGTTAGCACACATGCAAAGAAACGGACCTGATGAGTTTGGGAGAAGACAGAACGCAAGACAGAGACAAGATCCGTTGAGTGGGTGAAATGATCAAGCCCCAGAATCCCCTTTAGCTGTTGCAGGATGACTACAGTTGCTGCTCCTGCCATAAATCCTATTATCGTTGCATGTGACAGAAAATCCACGATAAACCCTAGCCTGCAGTACGGTAAACACAGTAACTATTACAAATTTCTGAAGGAAAACATTAACATGTTCTTCTTATTGATTAAAGTGTCTTTATCCTTGTTGACTGTTTATCAAATCTGAAAATAATAGGTCTATCACCGTCTATGGATCTTCTTAAAAAACAAAAACAAAAACAAAAAAAACTGTTGTAACTTAATGCAGCAAAAGACAAAGAAGGCCAGCACACAGAGAGACAGAAGAAAGATAAGACTACAGATGCAAAATGTTACTCTAACCCTTTATGGCAATCACTTTAATGACTGTTTAACTCAAAATCACGTGTATTTGTTTAACTCAAGGTGATATATATATATATATATATATATATATATATATGAGAGAGAGAGAGAGAGAGAGAGAGAGAGAGAAGACAAGCACACACATTGATTGGTTCTTAGTAAACCCAAAATTGGTAAAATCTTAATTGCTAGTATAAGAAAATCAAAGAGAAGAAAAACATGAATAGATTACTATCTGTCTTACCTTAATAAGCCAAGGGAAGCTTGAAATACTCCGGCAAAGAATGTTGCCGTGAATGCAAGATGGAGATATAGTTTGGGGTTCTCATTAGCATTAACTTCGTTCCCTAACATAGATGCTGTGAGGAGGGATGCGACAGCAACGGTCCCCACTGCCAAATCTCTGGAACTTCCCATCATTGCATAAACCAATGGTGGAATAAAGCTTGAATCTGCATGCGTTTAAACAAATCCAATAAAAAAACTGCTCGTATATATGTTAATTAGTTCCGCTAAAATCTGCTCTACGCTGGTGATTTTTAAAGCACTTACAAAGACCAAGAATCGGTGGCAAGTTGGCTAGTTTGGCATAACTTATCCCCTGAGGAATAGCAAGACTCGCAATAGTGATCCCAGAAATAAAATCACTTTTCAAGAACTCAAAAGTGTAACGGGGGGCCCAATCAAAGATTGGAAAGAAATATGTTAGGCCTAATATGAATCTTCGTGAAGCAGGCTGGTTCTTGAATTGCCTGAGAGGATCATCAGGAAAGAAAGTCTCTTTAAGATTATATTTCAGCGACTTCAGAAATGGTTGCTTTTGTGGAATCGCTACTCGATGTGAACACTCCACGTTAGTGGACGGATAAGCATAGTCGGCGTTGCCCATATGCACAAAATTTGGATGTTAAAATTTGATTTGGCTCTAAAATTTGGCTTACTCGTTTTGATGTGTGAGGCTTTGCTCTAAATTTCAAGAGATGGTAGGTGAAGGAGACAAAGAGAGAGGAGATGGCTGGTGTAGGGAGAGCAGTGAGAAAGGGTGTGGACTGGCCATGAATTTATAGAGGGGGGCTAAAAGGAGATGGGCGTGGACTGTAGAGGGCCTTATGCATTTTCAGTGGGTTGTGGAACCCACAATGTAATGAGAGTAGTTTTGGAAGAAAAGAGTCTACATAAATTCTTTTTTTTTTTTTTTTTTTGGCCTGCCCACCTCGTGTCCTTTTATTTTTGGTTTTCAATTAAGTCTCCTCTCCCTACCACAGGGAGCAAAATCCAGGAAGCCCACGTCTGTCATATAATTATAGGTCAGCTGTTCTTGTGCCACTGAAGAATGCCACTGCGACCTGGTGCACTGCCGTTGGATAGTTGTTGAAGTGGAGACGCGTTAGATGATCGTTGGTTTGTGAGATGTAAACTTTTGGATGTAATTGCGTCGACAAAATTCATTACCAACATATGCTAAAAATGTATCACTGCTTGACCAAATCTTTGATGTGGTCTTCTGTTAAGAATTGCAAGTTATATTTTTGGACCTAACGCCACCTAACGTTATCGGCATCTAGTTCTTCAAGAAGTAGTAGTTAATCACTGAGGGATTGAATTTGTCTGCAAGGCAAAATTTTCTTTAAAATCAACTGTGGATAACGTGAGTTTGTATCCTTTCAAAATCATTATCTCGGAGTTGATTGCTTACTTTTCATAGCTCCATGATTGCAAATAGAAAGAGATAGCCGGGGAGAAAAAATCAAGATTAAGTGCAATACCGCAACATTAAAACTTTGACTTCAAATTCTAGGCATTATAAGAAAACAAACATAATACAACTTAGAAGGAGATAATTGCGTAAATGAAAAGAAATATAGAAGATCATCTGACAATTAAAAATAATGAGAATAAATTTTTTTGAGAAAGAGAGAATCCCATCGCCCGTTGTTTAGCCCAATCATTAACAGGAGGGCAAGGCATCATTGTTAGTTTTTATTTTATTTTATTATTTTAACAAAAGGCATAATGTTAGATAATACTTACAAATAAAGGGTTTTTTTTCCCTTCAATTTTAGATTGATTACTCTTCCATCATTATGAAATTCAAGCCTCTTTTCAAAGAAAGATTTTGAAATGATAAAACAAATAGTTTAACAAAACTCTAAATTATATTTTTAACTATAGGAATACTAAAGGAAATTAATTATCTATCCAGATCCGAATTGTTGGTACGTATCTATATATCATAAGGACAGTATCTTTTCTTTTTTATTAGAGTGCCGCTGGATAGTGAATATCAAATTAAGATCGGAATCCATGCTCTTGAGAAGGCACAAAAACTCTTGACATTTCCCTTTTGATTATTTTATAAAGGAACAAAATAAGAAACCCAACACTAATAATTTGAAGCTTGACCTGGTCCAATAGGCAAGAGCATTGTTGAAAGGTTGACTGCTAATTGCTAGTAGCTGAAGCAGATAGAAAGGAAAAGCATTTTGTTTTGTTTTTCCCAAAAAAAGAAAGCCAAAGCATTTTGTTCTCAATGTCCACAGTTCTATTACCAAACGCAAAGACCATATCTAGAATTAGTGCAGCATACAACCTATTTGGTTGACCCAAGAGATGGGGACACATCCTATTGTCATGTCTAAAATTAATTAGTGTTTGGGTCAAACATGAAACACTGACGAGTCTAGAACACTAAAACACCAAGCTGTTTCTTTTTAACGGCCAAATTTGACGGCCCTGCGCATTTTGCTGACTTGTAAAGCGACACCTCTTACCGGCAATGAAACGGAAGGTCTGTTTGGGACACGTATTAATATCGAGCCCAAACCATCTTTGCATTTTCTGGATTTTGTGCACGAGATGAATGCGCCGACCTTGCTTGGCAGTTCCAAATTGCAAATACCATATAGTGGATGGGTGGATCTTATTCATTTCGTCAGATTTTGTGGCCACGTTATCAATTTTTTTTTTCAATTATTATTTTGGTGGTCAAATTATACTGCCCTTTCTTTCACTTACATGGTGGATCCAATCCATTTCATCAGATTTTGCACCAAGTTGTGGCCTTTTTTCATTTTATTTTTTCTTAATGTTCTCACATTCTGTGCTTTTTCATATTTTTTTTATAATTACGTTTGCTTGTTATTGTGATCACGTGAAAATATTTCAAATAATATAAAGTATAAATATTTCTTCTAAAGCATCAAATTCGTGCTTTGTAGTTTGTACATTGAAGCTTCATACCACTATAATTGCCCAAAACAAAATGCCTATAAATTGTTAAATAATTGGAATTTCAGTGGGTGAAACGACAATTGAGAGAGAGATCGAGAGGTTTTTTCTTCTTATTTGTTGATAAATTTTCTAGTCCTGATGCGAATAATTTATTTTTAATCGGATCGAAAATATAAATTTACTCTCCATATATAAAAACTAGTATGAAAATACGTTTGATATAAAAATTTTTTAAAAAAATCATTGGATAATTCTTTAAAAAAAAAAAAAAAAAAAGACAAAATGGCTAGATAGGTTCTTATAATTTTTTAAGGCGGGAAATCTTCGCTTTCTTTTGATAGAATACACGGACGCGCTCTAATTAAGGGACTTCTTCACAATTTCAATTTTTGTCGATATAGAAAGATATACATATAAAAAATACGAAGGAATTTTGTCAATGGAAAAAAGTTGATAAAAAATCATAAGAAGCATAGTTCCTCAGGCCTAAGGCCTAATCCACCCACTAAAGGGACCACGCATCAGGGAAAGTTGAAAAAACATCTACCAGAACTGGTCGGTGATGTAAGGTAAGGTTATTACAATTACTATACTATATAACATGATTCTTGACAAACAAAAATCAATGTTTACCAGCTTAAAGTAGAATCTAATATATATATATATATATATATATATATATATATATATATATATATATATATATATATATATCCTACTAAAATTAACTAATTGTTGAATTATAAGCTCTAAACTTCTCGTGAACTGCCGTTGTCTACTTTTAGGAAATGATTAAAAAACTAAGCAAGTTGTGAGTAACATGACAATTGACAGCAAGGCTTCCATTTTTGTGTCTTGCGCTTAATTAACAGTGTTTCAGCTTTTTATGGTGAAACCAAACATAAAGAATATTGAGTCTCTATTGCTTTTTTTTTCCTTTTAACAAAAAAAAAAAAAAAGAGAAGAGTCCCAAGATCATCCTAATTCCTGATATCTCGTTCCACAACATTAATCGGTCTATGTGATAGGCACAAATACTTAATCCATAAATAAAGAAGAATAAATCATTATTTTTAATCAAAAATTTTATGAAAAACATAAAAAAATAATAATAATTAAAAAAATCAATGAAAAAATTATAAAATTTTGAAATTATTTTGTTCTATCTACCTGTAGTATTACGCAGATAATTTCAAACATTAATCTTCTCATCAACATTAAATAAGAATAATTTTTTTATTTGTTAATTTTTATAAAAGTCTATCCATTAATTATAACTTTATTTTTTTAGAATAAAATATTATGAAAAATATTTTTTAATTCTTAATTAATATTTTAATTAAAATTATTATAAATTATTATTTTAAAATCAATCCATAGATAAGAATGAATTATATTTTGTAAAACAAAAAAATTATGAAAAACATTAGAAAAATTAATTAAATTAAAAAAAAATAAATGATTTTGTTTTGTCAAACTCATAGGGTAACGTACGTAGGCAATCGACTTGTAAAACAAAACAAATAATCAAATAATACAATTTGTTGAGATGCAAAATGAAAAATTAAAACAAGTGAGTTTTGGCGCGGGATGATGTGGTTTGGAATTCTGGTTGTAGTCAACTACTGATATTCGGTACTGGTTGTATTTTTTGAGCCCTAAGTACATTTCAAGCACGTGGTCGAGAAAAATAAATCATTTTATATTGGAATTATATATATATATATATATATATATATATATAAACTGCATTTTATTTTGCTTTGAAAAAATGAACTGCATTCTTATTGTTGAGCGATCCGGATACCGAAGATGCACGGACCTGGACCTGACCTGCAATTCTGTTTTTTTTTCTTTTTCTTTTTCTTTTATTCCCTTCCCGTGCATTTTTATTTTATTTTTTGATATAATTAATAAGTAAATAATTAACTATGTCTATTAATTTGTAGATACCCACACACAAAGACATTGCTGTGGCTTTCATAAACAACAAAGCTCTATACGTAGAATTACAGGGGGTTTAATTCTCGTTTGGAAGAACAAAAGATTCGCAACTACAGTAATAATTAAAATGTCGAAATCAAAATTTTCTTCTGTTGTGGTTCAATTTTGTGAAGTTTATACTCTTGAAAACATTACTTAAATCCAGGCAGAGACTTTTCACGGATTTTCATTAAATTGTTCGTGTATTGAAGTATTTCGTTTTATTTGTTAGGAATTTACCTTAACTTGACTCATTTGTTTTGAAATTCGAAATAGATATATAAACATGTAAGAGGATCTACCATCCATCTTGTCTTCATTTTTACTAGAATATTAGTTAATGCCACATGTGCAAGTTGTTAGAGTTAGTATCATGTGTGCAAATTGTTAGTTATTTTAATTAGTTAATTTGTTAGGTTAATTAGAAAGTTAGCTCACTTTTAGATTTGTATAAAGAATAAGAGTACATGTTAGTTATTTTTAATTCAACAAGTTGAATGAATATCAATTTTACTAAATTTCTTCTCACTCTTATTCTTCTTCATTCAGCCATGAAAGTTAACATGGTATCGAAGCTTGAAATATCTTGTTGATTTAGTACATTTTTGTCTTCAATTCAATTTGTTCTTCTAATTAGCTATGGTCGAAGTAACTTCGGTGCTTCATGATCTTGAT